GGGGGGGGGGGGGGGGGAAGAGGTTTGTGCGGGGAGAAGGGTGCAACAATGAATGAATGGAACTCCAAAATCTCTGTAGATGTTCATTGAAATGAAAAATAAACAACCTAAATTAAAAAAAAATAATAATTAACCAAACATAAAAAAGAAATGTGGTATCCTAATACAATATTTATCAGATCAAGTTCAGTAAGACTTTGCATTGTATGTGAATACTATTCCCTGACAGGATTTAGTCATGCCATAAGACAACACTATTTCTTATTTATATATACATATATGAAATAAATAAATCTACATGAGGATTAGCATAAGGAAATAAATCTGCTTTGGGGGTGTGTATTATTGTTTTCAGTGAAAAATTGTTCTGTTGCTAAAAAAAGAAAGTCTTAGATTTGCTACAAAAAAACAATTTCAATCCTAAACTCAAAGTTGTTGTTGTCATGTGCCATGGAGTTGCCTGAGACTCATAGCAACCCTATGTACAGCAGCTCTGAAGCCTGCCCTATCCTGAGCCAGTCTCACTAATTCTGACACACCAACTCCCATTGTCCCAGTTACTGTATCAACCCATTTCATTCGGGGTCTTCCTCTCCTGCACTGTCCTTCCACCCTTCCAAGCATGATGTCCTTCTCCAAGGACTGGTCCCTCCTGACCACGTGCCCAAAATATGTGTGATGGAGCTTCAAAATCCTAGCCTCAAAGGAGAGACTTGGCTTCACCCTCTCCAAGACAGATTTGCTATCTTGGCAGTCCATGGTATGTTCAGGACTCTTTTCCAGCACCAGAACACAAAGGCATCAATTCTATCATCTTTAGTCATTGGCTTGCTGATGCCTAGCAAGTAATTCTGAAGACCATGGCCTAAATCAGGTGCACCTTAGTCTCTAGACTAAGTCAAAGTTGGAATTTATTATTTTCCAAATTTTATGATGCTTATTAATAACATTTATAATTTGGTTTTTAATTTAAAAAATCACTAACATTAGTCACTTCTGATACATGTTTTTGTGTAACATAGAGTTGTAACCCACCAGCTGCTTGCCTTCGGGATTGCAGTGCACCTTCTTGCCACTAGGCCACCAGGGCTCCCTATCATTGGTCACTTCTGACACATAGCAACCCTGAATCCACAAGCTGCTAAGTGGGACAAAGATGGGCAGTCTCTTCCGATAAAAATACACAGTAACATCCTATGTATTATACCTCC